TGAGTTCCAGGACAGCCAGGACCGTTACACAGTGAAAACCTACCTTAAAAACAAATAAGCAAAAACCAACCAAACAAACAAACAAAAAAGATGCCAGAGTTCAATTACTTTTTGTTCATTTCTCTGAGCTTTTCTCAATCCTAAAAAGTGCTGAATCCCATCAGACTATAATTCATCATGGGAGTTGAAAGAACAAAGCCAAGAGACTACTGCATGAGATTTATATTTAAGTCCCCTCATTTCTAAAATAAAACTAGAAGTGCCAAGGAGATGGTTTAGTGAGTGAAGATATGTGCTGCTGAACCTGATAATCTGAACTTTATCTCTAGGACCCACACTGGTAGGAGGAGAGAATCAACCCCTGCAAGCTGTCCAATGACCTGCACACACACACACACACACAATCCAAACACAAAAATAAATCGGTAAATAAATAAATACTAACAATTAAAATTGAGCTAGAAGCTTCTTTGAAAACTGTCCTAGTCATGTGAATGTATTTTAGAACATTATTTGGCTCTACCCAATATGTTGAAATGCAGATTGGCTGTTACTTACTAATTCCATCACAATTCTTTTCTAGCAGATGTATAAGTACCTATATTCTGAGGGCAGGGATATTTAAGAAGGTTCATGATATGCTCTTTATAATGGTGTCTAGATGAATGCAGGATATTTCAATCATCAATGTAATGTGTAATAATATACCAAGTTGAACATGAATTGAACTACACTATATCCAGTGGGGTGATTAGCTCTAAAATTGTAGAGAGAAGGGAAATCTCTAGTGATGTAACAATAGACTTGTTTCTTGCAGTTATAAAAATGCTCCCTTTGTGATAACTATAACTGTGTTTTATTCATTTATTACATGCATATTATACTCTGTATTATGAGTATTCTTACATTTGTTTTCTGTTTATTTTTTTGAGGAAGGAGGATATCACTTAATGGCAAGAATAGTGGTGATTTATTTGTTCACAATGATGAGGTCCATAAAGATATTTTCATATAAATCTATCATGTACTTTGACCATAACCACTCCCTGTGGTGTGCCTTTCATCCTCTCCTAGGTCCTGCTGGCACAGACAATCTTGCTTTTACTTTCATTTTATACATGTGTGATATACATGTACACACACACACACACACACATACACACACACACACACACACACACACACACACACACACACACACACACATATATATATATAAATGGGTGTTTTTAAAAATTATCTATATGATATTAGTATATTTATGTATGATAAGACTGTTCTCCTGGGCCATTCTGCATTGCCTTGAAGAGGAAGATGAACACTTGTTAGAGACTGTTATTTATAATATGAATGCTTGATCTCAAGTACATTTTAGCTCTCTCAGTAATATAATCTTAAGAAAATTCAAATTACTTAGCAACTCTCAACTTTAAAAGTTTTGATATAAATTTAAATGATCATCTCACAGTAGCTGTTACAGAATTGCTTCAGTGCCTTCTATGTAAGGCATCAGATTATCACCTGAAGGAATATATTTGTTTATTGCAAATGAGGGGAGAAACAACTTAAGATTCTGGTTCCAATACCAAGAAAATATTTTTTTTCAGTTGTTAACAACCCCGAGGAGAATAGTTGAACTGTCAGGGTAAGTGGAATTAATTGAAATTACATTAATACTCACTTATGTTTTATTGCTTCAAGTCTATATACAAATTTGTCTTCAATGAATTAAGAGTGAAATATCTAATGTTATTAACTATTTTAAAATCGACACCAAAACAGGAGTTCTGTACACCTACTGATATTATACAAATATTTTATTAATACAATTTTAGCTAATCTTTCACGGTTTTGTAAAAATATTTCCTAAAGTAGATTTGACTGTTCCAAGAATATACTATCAAATTTGTCTGCTGATCAAAGGGCTGACATGGAGGAATTCTGGAGGTTGGTTTAGATGACAGAAAGTATGTGGCATGAGAAAGAGAATCAAGTTCTCTTGGTGATGCTTGTGTATGGTCATTTCTTAATCATTTTGGCCAGAGCTTGCTTACTTTTAGAACCACTGAGTAGGGTGCCAACTAGTGGTATTCAAACTGTGTTGTCAAATACTTAGAATTCCTGACAATGACTCATGGAAAACCATAGTAGTGACAAAAAGTTGAATGAATAAAAAATTTCTCACATTTGACTAAGAATAGTCTTATATCCTTAAGTACCAAAACTTATGTAAACTATATAAATTCACACTAAGAACAAAGGTTTCCTGCTGACAAATTAAAAAAAAAAAACAAGAATATATTACTGAAATGATTAACATGGTTTTTGTTTTGATTTCACAATGCAATGGAACGGTTGCTAGTATTTATCATGAGGTCCATCCTACTTTAAGCAAGTGTAGCTATAGAGTTTCTCTCCAGGTGCCGCCAAGCCCTGGTAGTCCCGTAGCCCACTTATAAAATAAACACACAGACGCTTATGTTATTTAAACTGCTCGGCCATTAGCTCAGGCTTACCAGTGTCTATCTCTTACACTTAAACTCAGCCCATTTCTGTTAATCTATGTATCGCCACGTGTTCCATGGCTTTACCTACTGTCTTTACATGCTGCTCCCTGGACAGCAGGCAGGAGTCTCTCCAGCTTCCACCTCCCAGCCTCTCTTCTCTGTTTGTCCTGCCTATCCTATACTTCCTGCCTGGCTACTGGCCAATCAGTGTTTTATTTATCAATCAGTCATAGCAACATATATTCACAACATACAGGACATCCCACAGCAAGCAAGTAATAGTTTTCTGTTGGCTTTAGGAAGTGATTGGTAAGTTCTACCATGGTCATACAACATTTGATTGATGGCTAGTGAATGGAGTCAGGGTTTTTGCTCACTTGAGTCATAGATGTTTGCAAACCACAAGAGGTGTGAATAAACAGTCCCCACTTGCTTATTTTGTAGGTGAAAAATATAAACTTTTATATAGAGATTATGTGGCTGAAATCCAAGTTTCTAGTACCAAAAAGGGTACGCCAGATGTTCAGTGTACTGCTACGTATTATCAGTTCACATGTGCACTCTGATCACTTCTTTTCTCTATGGTTAAGATAAAGAGCTGGAGAATGCTGATGTCTCTTTCAACTGAAAACATATTGTAAACAGAGGCTTTTATGTCCTGCCCAGTCCTGCAGCCACTTTTCAAATAATCATTCAGAGACTTAATATTAATTACAAAATGAAATGTGAACACTCTTACATTTTAATGTGCTTACATATAGTTAAACCTTTAAAAATAAATGTCTCAAATATTAACATGCAATGGAAATGCTTATTGAGTAATATTTGTGCACATTAAAGTAATTAGGAACTGTAAACATTTAAAGACATATGTAGTAATTAGAAATACTAAATAGACAGAACTGAAAGAATGAAAAATTACAAAGGGTTTACTTGATTGGCTTATAGGCTGCATTCCAAGTCATCCAACAATTTCTGTTTCACAACATGAAGGCTAAGAAAATAGTAGTGATTCATTTCAGGAGGATGAAATGAGTCCCAAACACAGTGTCTAACATAGTTTGATGCTGGTGGGGATAGGTACACATCAAGAATGGCACACAGGCTACACAGAGGTAGGCACATAGACATACAGGAAGACACATATAGACAGTGTGGTGAAGGCTACATGTAAACAGAATCACATGAGTCATTCTGCCAAATATAAATTACACCAATACTTATTTTGGGGTTCCCTGAAAATACAATGTCAGCCATTATTAGCTGGCTTATGGTGCCCCAGTTAACTTAGCTACTTCATACTGGATATTCATATCATTTCTATGTTGTTTCAGCACAAACTGGCTCATACATTGTTCTGTTGTCTCCCGAAAACCCATCTTAAGTTTGGGTAAAACCATTCCCTAGGCAGAAGATCCAAAATTAAATAAAGAAAGCTGAGTACTAACAAAACATGCGTACAATCATTGCAATTTTCTTCTGACTCCAAAAATAATGTGACCAGCTTTCTCAGGCTCCTGCAATTATGAGTTCTCTGCTGCACTGGACTGTAATCTGGAACTGTGAACTAAATAAACCCTTTCTCCTTTAAGTTTCTCTTGTCAGAATACTTTATCATAGCCACAGAAAAGAAACCAAGACAACGTAGAATAATTCCAAAAAATAACTTTTGAGAAAAATAAAGAGCACAGTACTTTATAAAACTGCTCATTTATCTTGAGGCATTACATATGATCCACAGTATGATCAAAGGACCCACTTCCATGTACTTGCTGAAAAGCAATGAAAGCATGTGTTTGCATCAAGAGAATTCAAATGATTGTGTAGCTTTATTGGCTAAATTCCAAAATGAGAAATAACCCAATTGCTCACTCTTGGTAAATAGATAGATTATCGTATAACTTTGCAATTGAGACTTCTAAAGAATTACAAGGGATAAATGCCACAAGTATGATATGAATGAATATTGAAATAATTTTGCTGAGGAAGTCAGACTAAACAATATTCATACTGTAATTTTTTAACAAATGGAAAAACAAGAACCAATGGTTGTCTGAGGATCAGAGGTGACTGGGGACAGGAAATGTAGCGGGTATGAGAATATTATTCATGTAGATAGATGATGTTCTTTTTGTGATTAATGATTTGCAGGAGTATACATGTGTTGAAAATGAGCAAAACATTCCTTTTAAATGTTTAGCTTGTTGTCTGTCAATTATATTTAGATAAACTGTGAAAACATAAAGCGGAGCAAATTAAATAACTAAACATGTATACCAATCTGGGACATAAGGAATCGACAGAAACAGATTGTGCATTTATACAGCCCCTAAGGAATCAAGATATTCAAACTAGTAAGCTATTTTCTGCTCAGAGTTAAACCCAATTCGATGACACATTTGCATTTCATTTATGGATCCTGGGAATGATGTGTGATTTTAGGAAGATTTTACTTGAAAAGAGGGTTGCTTTCAAATTGTTTTAAAAGAATAAGCACAGTTAACTAACAATGCCAAGGAAGTTGAAAAGCTGAGCCCTTGAACATAATGAGGAAGTGTCAATCTTCCATTGTTAGATCCTTTTTCCTTAAGGCAGGAGATCTCACAAGCAAAATTCTTTAACATTTGGTGAGTGCAAATGGATTGTAACTGCTGATCAGTCTCATGCCTGCAACATGACAAGGAAGCCATGGTTAACTACTGCGCAGCAAATAAGGAGGGCTATGGCTTTAATTTGAAACAACCTCCAACCATGTGAAGAAGCTCTAGCAATACCATCTGCTTCACAAAGGAACCAGGCTGATGACTATGATTGTGAGTGGAGCTGGTTCCCCCCCCACCAGAGCAGAAGGTAAGAGAGAGTAAGAAACATTTGGGGAACTCATGCTTGTTTTTAAGGAGGAAAAATTTTTCTGTAGACAGCATTGGCTGTGAACTCATGCCGATTAGCAAAGGAACCACTAAAGACCAGAAACAGTTGGGGAGAAAAGCAAAACAAAGAATGTAATTTTCTTCTACCTCCCTGCTCACCTCCCTGGCTTCCTACACTTACAACTTCGAAACAAATGCCTCTCTCAAGATCCAATGTGCTTGCTTAGCTAGATGGAGCCAGTTCCAAAAATGACTTTTACAATATTTAGTTCAGCATTTTACACAGGAGATCATTCAAGTAAAAACCATTATGTGGTACCTCCTTTGTTCATTTTTTACTGTAACATATACGGAATATACTTAAATGTTCAGCAAGTAAAATGATGAAAAAAAGTTTAATTATCAAATATAATTAACAGTGTCTAATTTAAATTAATCATCATCAAACGACAACTAGATTATAAAATGTGGTTAAGAAAGACAGTAGCTGTTCAAAAGACTTGAAGAAGTCTGGGTGAGGTCCTTCACTTTCATGAGCCCTAGTTTGTGCATCTTAAAGGTCTGAGCAGAAGTGAGGATGCCTAGTAGACCCCGGAGGACAACACCACTGATTAATACACTATGAAGAAGCATATACTTCGGTATGGTGTCCATATGTGTTCCTTCTCATTCTCAAATCTTGGAATTGAACTAGAATCCAGAATGTTTTAGTAGCCATGAGACATAAGGCTTGGCAAATCTGTACAATGGTAGAACAGAAGGGGAGTTTTGAGATATGGCAATCATCCACTTATTCTTTCCAGGAAAGGGTTGAAAAGTACTAATTTTAGTCACAGAGCATGAGTCAATACTAACTGCAAAAGAGTCTGGATTCCTCACAGACAGAAAAGAGTTAATTCATTTTAATCCATGCATATACTACACATATTACCCTATATTAGCCTATTTTGTTGATGAGTGAAAGCTAAAATCCTTTCCTGGAAATTTAGTAGGAAATAATCAGCACTTCACAGAAATAAAGTTGTTGTCTGAATAATTCATTAACTTTGAAAGGAATTCTTCAAATGTCATTCCTATTCTCTCTCTCTCTCTCTCTCTCTCTCTCTCTCTCTCTCTCTCTCTCTCTCTCTCTCTCTCTCTTTCTCTCTCTCTTTCTCTCTCCATATATGTGTGTGTGTTTTAAAATTAGATAAGACTCTTTTATCTTGTATATTGAATCACAATTCATTTTCCTATGTAGTCATTTATGAATACCATATTATGAATGCTCCAAGATCCCCACATAGAGACTTGAAACCATAGATGGAAGTGATCTCTAAATACATTTTCCTTATAAATGTATACTTATCCCAATAAAATTAATCTAAAATTTAAGCATAATAAGAAACTGTCAGTAATAACTAGTAACCAAATAGGATGATTATTTAATAGTTTATCACATAATGAAGTTAAGATCTCTCTTCCTCTGAAATTTCATAATGATAATTTACCTATGGTTGATAAGGGTAAATGAAAGTACAGAGAATAAGCACTACTATATATCTCAAGAAACTATAACTGAACCTTAACATGTATAGAATCTAGAAGAACTACTTCTAAGAGATATTTAAAAAATAAAATAAAGATCTTAATAATAACAACACTAATAAATATATTAGTAATATGAGCTTACCTCAAAGGATTTTCTAAAACTTGAATGAATGAATAGAGGCAAAAATCATTCCTTCCAAGCAATCAGTACTTTCAAGATTTCTAGTTTACATCTTTATATGTGACCAACAATGTCATAAGCATCAGAAGACTGCTGTGGGATGTTCTGTATGGCAAATGTGTTGCTGATTGGTCAATAAATAAAACACTGATTGGCCATTGGCTAGGCAGGAAGTATAGGCGGGACAAGGAGGAGAATAAAGCTGGGAAGTGGAAGGCTGAGTCAGAGAGACACTGTCAGCCGCCATGATGAGAAACAGCATGTGAAGATGCCGGTAAGTCACGAGCCATGTGGCAAGGTATAGATTAATGGAAATGGATTAATTTAAGCTATAAGAACAGTTGGCAAGAAGCCTGAAACGGCCATACAGTTTGTAACCAATATAAGTCTCTGTGTTTACTTGGTCGGGTCTGAGCTGCTGTGGGACTGGCGGGTGACAGAGATTTGTCCTAACTGTGGGCCAGGCAGGAAAACTCTAGCTACAGAAGACAGTGTTGAAATCAGACTTGTGTTTCTTTAACAACAAAATTAAACATAAAGAAACAAAATCAGTTACATAGTTTCAGAATTATTGATTCAATTAGGAGACTGGTTCTTTTTTATTCAATCTCTTGACCAGTTTTGAAAAATTGCTCACATACTTCTATAATAATAAAAAATCTTAATTATGGATATGTATGGAATAATTGTTTACATTTCCATTTGATATATTTATGAGTATTCAATTGTGAAACTGGCAAGAGCTTAAAACCAAGGGCCTTTCCAAATACAAGATAATGAGTCTTGGAGGAGCCGTGTAATAGATTACATCCTGAGCACTAGATGAAGTACACATCATCATTTTTCCCCCATCCAGGGTAACTTTCATAGGTCTGACTATAGATATATTGTTTTTCACTTTCACAAAGATATTTGGCTCTTACTCAACTGCTTACTTGGGGATACTTTTGAGTTGGCCATTCTATACATTTCCCATTGTCAGATATGAATAAAGTTCAAGTTGTAGGATGAGTCATAAAAATCAAAACAAAACTCTCTTATGATCATGCTGTATACTCACATGAATCACTGGAAGACGAAAGTGCTTTCCTCCTTTCCCTAGTTTTATTTCCATGTTTCTCTAACCTTCACCCAGCTAGAAAAACAGGGCCCTTGCACAAGTAAATTTACATATGTGGAAGTACTTAGAAATTTGAAGATGCTATACAATTTAGACTTAGCCATGAATGTTATTATAGTGGGTCCTTCCATCGTTTCTGTAAAATCATTACTAAGTCCCTTAATTTACAACATATCCTCCTTATGAATATTACTATTGTAGTCTTCTTAAACTGAGCACAAATTTCACACTAAAAATCATGTTCTCAAGTAATCCCATCAGCATGGAAATCTTCCTTTCCTCTTTTGCTTACTTTAAAGTACATTGATGACTTCCATGTATAAGATACTATTCTATAACCTGGAACATAGAAATGAAAGTGTAAAAGTATACATAAATATTTTCTGTATTTCTACAAGATAAAGAATGAAGGCCAGAAGGCTAGTACACAGTAGTCTTGGAGAAATTAACACAAGATGAATCAGCAAAAAGAAGCATGCTGAAATACGTGAACAGCCTTGAAACCATGAATGCCAAGTGGTATACTTGCTTGCAGTGGGAAGACACTGATAAGAAGAGAGAAGGCAATGGTGACAAGTGGCCTGATGTGAGTTTCTTTGAGAGTCTTCTGATTTAAGCAGTCTTTTTACAGACTTAGTCAATGTCCTGAATCATATCATTTTAGAAAATGTTTCATATCATAAACACACATACATGGGTACATCCTAGTATCTGTGCCTACCTAAGTCTCTCAGAACACAAAGCACAGTACTGGTAGAATGTAAGTGGTAACTATTGGGGGGTTTATTAAGGCAACTCCATGTAATTAAAAGGGAGGTTTATTTGGGGGTAACTTACAGCAAGTATAGGGATTGGTTACAGGATCCAGAAGAGGTGAAGTGCAGTCCAGTGGCGTTCTCTGGAGAACTCTACTTGGGCTACTATCCAGCATCCAGGATCATCAGGAACCAAGAGAGCTGGCACATCTGGATCTCGGGTCTTAAGGGCTCCCATCTTGGCCCCGCCTCAGGGCTAGGTCATAGGTAGGTGTGATAGTTACCGGAAGCCTCATTAAGGTTAGTACTTCCAGGTCAAAGCTGGAACAGCTACCCACTACAGGTAACTGCATATATTTTAAAAATAAACATTGTTTTGACCCATGGCAGTTCACATATCTTGTTCTACGTCTTTAAAACTAAAAGGAACTGTGTTTTAATACCATACATGTTGGTCAGCTGTGTTCTATCAAAGTCAGAAACATACATCAGTCTGGACAGCAGGCATAGTTAAGTAAAAGAATAAGAACAAATAACCCACATATATATGCATTCCTGCCAAATGCTTGTTCTCAGACAGCATGGGCAAAGTAGATTTCTCCACAATGAAGTATCACTGCAGACCAGTGTCTATTGCTCATCTCCTGATATGCATCTATTGACCATTTCGTGTTTTTAGAAACACATATCTATGCAGCATTTACTAAGGACAAGGGATCATTTGCAATTTTTAAATATTTCCTTAAATTTTTTGAAAGTGTATTGGTGTAGATATAGGTCAGAAATCAAGATAATAAGCTATACCCTGAGCTAAAGTCTGAAAGTATGCTATTTATATGAATACAATTTTATTGTACACAGTCACACATTCATTTGCTTTGTATTTCCCACATCTACTTTTGACTCACAACAGCAGTACTGCAGCAACATATATTTGTTCAACTCATCAAATGTTTCACATAGACACTGAATGCTGCTAAACAGATGCACACAATCCTGAAACAATTGCAAATTAAGGTAGGAAAGTTTAATAGAACTGATGAACATAGGTTTTTAGACAGAAAATGGTGAAGAGGCTGAGGGAGAAGAGGAGGAGAGGAGGACAAAGACCAGGAAGAAGATACAAATTAATTTGACATTTCCAAACAGTTGTGATAATAAAAAAAATCCTATCAGAGAAGAAAAAGGAAGGAAAAGATAACAAATTCAGTATCAGAGGAAATGAAATTATTAAAACATGACTGAAAGTTAAAAATAATAGAGTCAATCCAACTTAAAATGGATGTGATCCATTTCTAAAGGAAGTGAGACTTGAGAGGCTGGGAAGAGTTAATCCAAAAGTCAAGAAGAATGCTCCAGTGCTGCGTAATGCTTGCTCAACCTGTAGTTCATGGATCTATGGTGAAGTCAAACATATGCTTGCAGTTTTGTTGTTTTTTTTTTTTCATAAGTTTCACAAGCACTTAGTTGACTTCAGAAAAATCAAATGACGGGAATATATCAATATGAAATTTCTGCAGGCTAATACATTTGTGAGTGATGGGCCTGTTGTGAGTGATGTTGACAGGGGCATAATTATAGGAGGAAAAATATCTGGAACAGGAGCGGGCCATGGAAACAGCAGGCTGCAAGCAGAGTGAGTCACGATGTGCAGTACGGTCCTAATGCCAATGGTCTGGAAGTATCAGGGGCAGACAATGAAAGCAGATGAAGAGCCCAGTTGTAGGAACTCTGTGAATTATATAGATTTGAAGTGCCTTTTTAAGCAAAGTCAAAAAAATGTAGAAATATGTTGCGTAAAAAATATTTTTAACTTTTTTTGATGTGTAAACACTTGTGAAGACTGTCCTCTGGGGATTTGGATGGAACTCCTGCAGATGAAGGTTTAAAAACGGAAAAGTTATTATCTTCAGAAGTAACAAGAGGGTAACTATTTGACAGAAAGTTGGAGGTATGGGGCCCAGTTGCAGATTTTGCAGGTACTGATGAATGTAAACAAATTCTGTTCTTCAAGTGTTGGGAGGGGGCGGATCACTGGAGTGGGTAGAGTGGGAAAGAAAAGAATCTTGAAGAAGAGAGTTGGATTATTCTAAAGAACAGAAAAGCTTTCCAAAAGCAGATAAAAATGTCAGTCATCCTGATAGCCAATCCTTCAATGTTTATGTCTTGCATTTCATTCTTAGCCCTTTGCACAATTTTTTTTCCTATAGCTCTTTATTATTTTGAATTCAGGTTAAGAAACTAAGAAATAAAGTCCCAAATATGTTGTTTCCCCCACCAAAATCGAAGTGTCTTTGTTTGTTTGCTTGATTTGTACTGCTTTTTCTCTCTCTGTTTCATATGGTTGTCCAAAGGTCAGCAGAATTTTCAAGAACAGCAGAAACCTTCTGCAAATCCAGCATATAACTGGGTTCTGTGTGTAAGAGTCTCTAGACTCTCAAGCACAACACAATGGTCCTAGAGTAATTCATTTACATCATCCTGAGTTCCTTCTATCATTCTTGTATTCCATTCCCTAGGGGTTGGTGCTTGACCTTGTAGTCCAAGCTAGTCGCAATCATTATACTATTATCTGCTTAATGAAGTAGCTGAGTAAGTAAGTATATCATTTTTATTCATAGTGTATCATGGAGAATTTAGCCACATGGCCAACCCTCTGGCTGGCACCAAAGTGTTTGATTCAGTGGGTGGACATGAACCCTTCTACAGTCAATTTGCTGGCCACGGGTTCATTACCAAACGAAAGAGGGAAACTTGGATGCAATTCACAATCTCTGTCTGGCCCCTTCATGAATATTCCTCTAGTTAACATATTTTTTGTGACATTTTGCACGCCCTTGGGGGAAGACACCTTGAACTCAGAAAGATTGGCTTGTGGACCCTTCTTTATATTCCCACAGCAGTCTATACTTACAAATTTGGCTAACACCTGCTGTCATATTTATTCATCAGTATCTTCTCTATTCTAGCATCTTGTTAGTTCATAAACATTTACAGTTGAATATATGTATGAACGAATAAATAATTGATGGGTTCTATTTATTTTAGCTGAAGTTCAATAGGTTTTTACTCATCCCTACATTTTTTGTTTGATTTTTCTCCATTTCCTCCACATGTCTGTCATGTTAATGTCTTGTGCAAGAAACTATCTTAAAACTCACATGAATATCTAAACTACTATTTGTTTAGATGTATCATGATGAGTATTAACTAGCACAATATTAATTTAAATTAAATACAAACATAGTAAGCTTGTACTATATGTAACTATTTCATTCAATGACCCAGCTTATTGAAAATATAACCATAGTACAAAATAAGTAAAAAGAAGTCTCAAATTCCAGACAGGTGAGTTGACTAGTTACTGAATTTGTTCATTTTGTGATTAAGCATTTATTGAATGTCTATCAAGTTTCATGTATATAACATACTTGAAACATGCATGAAATATGTATTTGCATATGTGTGTATGTGCATATGCATATGTGTGTGTGCAAGCATATGTATCCACACACAAACACAAATAAACAGACACAAATATAATTATCTTATCATATAATGCTTTATTATCTTTTGTGGAACGGAGTATAAGCAGGACTAAAATCTTGAAATGATCTGTCATTAACTGGAAATTGACAGCTTTCACAGGATTTCTTCTTGAAAAAGATCCCTATCTTTTGCCGTTAACAATAAATTAGAATTACCCAATTGTACCAGATGTATTATCGCTTTTGAAGCAACTGCAAAATAATACTGTGGAAAGGCTTTCAAACACATCCCAAACGGAAACAATACAAATAAATGAAAGGAAAAAAATATAATCTTTCTGACATTTCCATGAAAATTGAATGTTCTTCTTCTACAAACAGAGAAGAGCAGTTTCATTATGGAATGCCAAGGATCACATATCCATAAAATACCAAGAGATTCTGCATGTCATTCAATCACACAGCTGACAGTCTTCAAGGAGAACAGCTTTCAGCCAGATAGGATATTTTAATGAGCTAATTAGCTAGCTCCTGAAGGTGAATCTTTGGCATTACTTATAGAATTACGATAAAATCTACATATCCCTGCTGCTATTTTAGAATAAATCATGTTACCTAATGGCTCTTACTCTAATATTTACTTTAAATATGGAAATTTTATTAAGATCATTTTTACCTCGATGGCAGGTATTTATTTTTATTCAGCAGTGATTTTTAACTCTTTCAGTTCTGAAGTACTTTCTTCTATATATTCGAGTAGCTATGCCATCACTATAAAAATTCTGGTCATTAGAACATTTCTGATAATATATCATACCAACATAGAAATAAACTGAGTCCTAGTAATTAAGAAAATTAAGTTCTCCTGTGCTGTGTGTGTGTGGGGAGGGGGGGTGTATGAATATGAATGGGTGTACTTACTGTGCTTGTGTGCTTGGAAATCAGAGGTTGATGTTGGGGTGTCTTCCTCAATATCAACAATATTTATTCAAGTTAATCTATATCTTAGAAGATGTATCCTATTGTTAATAATGTGTGTGTGGTCTGTCTCTGTGTGAGTATGTGCACATGAGTGTAGGGGAATTCAGAGTCCCAAGGAGGGTGTGAGGTTCCCTGGAGCTGGAATTATAGGTAGTGCTGGAAACTGAACTTAGGTCCTCTGAAAGAACAGCATGTGCTCTTAACTGCTTTGCCATCTTTCCAACCCTTGCCTTTATGTTTTGAGGCAAATTCTCACTCTGAATGTGAGCTTACTGTTTCCACTAGACTGGTTGATCCTGAAAGCCCCTTAAATCTATCTGTCTCTGTCCTCTAATGCTAGAACTGTAGACACGTGCCATGCTGGGCTTTTTACTAGATGCTATGGATCTGAACTTAGGTCCTCGGGCTTGCACAATCAGCACTTCACTCAGGGAGCTACCTTCTGATCTCCAAATATTTACTGTGATATTACGGCATGGAAGAAAGGGAACCACTGCATTCTTTTTTTTTTTTTTTTTTTTTTTTTTTGAGGCTTCTTATTCAAGTCACAAAAGACTTGGCTATAAATAGTGTTCAAAATAAAAGGCTAACTAATTGAAATTATGATGGAATGAAAAATATCAATACACAATTACCCAGAGTCCTATGTGACATTATCTTTGACAAGCTAGGATATTTAAAATGAGCATGGAGGACAATAGCAAATGACTATAAAGATATGGGGTGGTTCTGTATCTCTCTCTCTCTCTCTCTCTCTCTCTCTCTCTCTCTCTCTCTCTCTCTCTCTCTCCCTCCCTCTCCACTCCCTCCCTCCCTCCCTCTCTCTGTTTCTTCCTTTCTCTGTCTTGTGTGTGTGTGTGTGTGTGTGTGTGTGTGTGTGTGACTAAAAATGTGTGCTCTAATTGTGTAGGCTACAGACCCGTGACCCATTTTCTTTGAGTGAGCACTTGCCTCTCATTCACTGAATTTTCCAACAAAATAATTAGCAATTTGGTTCCAACCTGTGTTACCATTTGTTTTTTCTCTGGTATATGTAGCCACTTATAGAAAACAAACTCCTCTACCTGTTAAGGTGTGTGTGTGTGTGTGTGTGTGTGTGTGTGTGTGTGTGTGTGTGTGTGTATACATAATTTTAAAAAGATTTTCTTTTCTTTTACATACCAACCCATTCCCCCTCCCTCCTCTTCTCCTGCTCCCCTCTCCTACCCCGATCCCTCCTCAGAAAGAGTAAGGCCTCCCTTGGGTAGTCAACACAGGCTGTTATACCATGTCGGAGCTATACCTAGACCTTCCCTCCAGCAACAAAATTTCTCAATAAAATACTAGCAAACCAAATCCAAGAACACATCAAAAAATCATCCACCATGATTAGGTAAGCTTCATCCCAGGGATGCAGAGATGGTTCAATATACAAAAATCTATCAATGTAATACACCATATAAACAAACTGAAAGAAAAAAAACACATTATCATCTCATTAGATGCTGAAAAAGCCTTTGACGAAATCCAACACCCCTTCATGATAAACGTCTTGGAGAGATCAGGAATACAGGGAGCAAAACCTAAATACAGCAAAGGCAATATACAGCAAGCCAACAGCCAACAGCCAACATCAAACAAAATGGCAAGAAACTCAAAGCAATTCCACTAAAATCAGAAACAAGACAAGGCTGTCTACTCTCTCCATGCTTATTCAATATAGTACTTGAAGTTCTAGCTAGAGAAAAAGAAGATCATGGGGATACAAATTGGAAAGGAAGAAGTCAAACTTTCACTATTTGCAGATGATATGATGTTCTACATAAGTGACTCCAAAAATTTCACCAGGGAACTCCTACAGCTGATAAACACCTTCAGTAATGTGGCAGGATACATGATTAACTCAAAAAAGTCAGTAGTCCTCCTATATGCAAATGATAATTGGGCTGAGAAAGAAATAAGAGAAACATCACCCTTTACAATAGCCACAAATAACATAAAATATCTTGGGGTAACTCTAACCAAGTGAAAGACCTGCATGCCAAGAACTTTAAGTCTTTGAAGAAAGAAATTGAAAAGATATCAGAAAATGGAAAGATCTATTAAGGTTTTATGGATGTTTTAAAACAAAGCTTTTGTAACTTCTCTTCAGCCAAGCGACTCCTTCATAAAGCGTTTTATATATATATATATATATATATGTTAGGTTGCGCTTAGTTATCAATATGTGCACACTCTCACTGAATAATGAGCTTCTTAAGAACTGGTAACATGTGTGATACTCATAGAAGGCAGGGTTCTATAAAGAAACAGAAACCAATAGTGTGTGTGTGTGTGTGTGTGTGTGTGTGTGTGTGTGTGTGTGTGTGTGTGTGTGTGTCCCCCTATCTATCTTTGCATTTACCTGCATCTCCATCTAAAGAGGATTTGTTCTAAATTTGAAGGCTAAGAAAATCGTGATAGGCAAGGCCAGCAGGCCTAACATCTGCTGTAGATGCAAGAAGAGCCAATCTTGCAGATGAAGTCTGAAGGCCGTCTGCTGGAGTATTCTCTCTTTCATGAAAGAGGTCAGTCTTTTCTTCTATTCTGGTTTTGAGTGATTAGAAGAGCCCACCCACATTATAGAAAGCAATCTGCTTTACTCAAAATCAACTGATTTAAATGTATATTGCATCCAAATTACCCCCATGAAAACATCTAGAATAACGACACATAATTACAATGATGTATGAACCAAATATGGGCTCTATGGACCACCTAAGTTGACACACAAAATTAACCTCTACAGTCAATACGGTGTACTGTATCCTTGCATTTTAGTAAAATGCTTGGTTAAGCAGGTACTTAATACATGATAGTTGGAAAAACAAATCGAAGTTGTTAAGTACTGCTGAAGAAAAATCTTTCTGTCTCAGTGTCTATTGTTGTAAGTTACAGAAGAATACTGGAGCACATATAGGGTACTCAGTTATAAATCTTTAGGCAATAATGACCTGAACAATAACAACCATTCAGAGAAGTAAAGGGGGATAATAAGCCCTATAGCAAGGCTGTTTTTAGTGAAGTCAGGAATGCTGTCTACACATACAGGGTAGTAGCAGAAATGTTCTAAGAAATGTGTGGTGATATTTGAAACTGTCATGGGATAAACCATAGTACTTTCAATAACCTAGGTTGTATGGTCTACATTCAACTATAATTTTATGGATGCCCATTATATACATGTTCTGCAGATAGGTAACACACACACACACACACACACACACACACACACACACACACACACACATATATATATATATATCCCTTCCCCTGGATGCTGCCATAAGTAATAATTCTATACTTGTTTCTTTTTAAGGTCCCCACAGTTAAAATTTGGAATTATTACAGTGCCAAAAATAACATACTGTTATAAGAGCTTTGGGCCATTCTTTCAAGCATAAAGAATCTGATGCATGAAATACCCTCTGACATACATTATTTTAAAAAAATATGTTATTTATTCTTTGACAGTTTCATTCATATGTACATCTTGATACTTGTCTTAAATATATAATGCAAACAACTCATCTTGACCCTCCCAATATATCCCTTCTCAACATCATGTCCTCTTTCTTTCTTTCTCTCTCTCTCTCTCTCTCTCTCTCTCTCTCTCTCTCTCTCTCTCTCTCTCTCTCTCTCTCTCTTTCCTTCCTTCTTTCTTTTCCTTCTTTCCTTCTATGTTTTTGTCTATTTTTTATCACCCACTGATTCCCATTAGTATTGTCTTCATGAACAGCTAACCAGGGGCCATATTCCTAAAGAAAATTACTCCTTTTCCCTCAGCTGCTATTAGTTAGTGAATAACTCCACAGCTAGAGGTAGAAACCTCACGAAACCTTCTTCCATTAATCCTGGGATTATTGACTGGCTTGATCTTGTGCAGGTAACTAACTGCTATAAGTTTATCAGTCATGTCAAGAACACAGCATTTCGCAACATCATCTCCATCTTCAAAATTTTACATTCCTTATGCCCCCATTTCTGTGGATGTTTTTTGAGCCTTGCAGGAATCAATGCCCCATGTAGGGCTGACCATTCATAGTCACATATTCTGCTTAGCACTTTTTATTAGTTCCTAGTCTTTCCATTGTCTGCTACACACTGCAAAAAGAAAAGTATCTGCCAAAGTTCAGAGCAATGCTAATCTGTGAGCATAAATGAAATATTTAAAAGGCAATTTAACAGTATATCCACTAAGTAAATTAACAGTAATAGATTCCCCCATTATGATTTATATTTTTCCTAGCCATGGACTTTGATAAGGTTTACAATACCAGGTTTGAATGCCCTCCTGTATAGCAAGTCTCAAATCCAAATCCAATCTGCAAGCTTTTGATGACCTCCATAAGAGTCATGCTACTAATTCATTTGTGGGCACATCTTGTCTATCAGGTCAGTATTACAGCATGCAGAGTCCACCTCTGGGTAGATCCACTGATGTGTTTTCTTTCCAAGGTTTCTGTATAGTACCTTCAGCATTCATGGAAGAAGCATCCAGGACAGTTTCTTTTTTCTATAGAACTAATTTGTTAGGTCTTCACCAATAGACACTATCTTATTAAGGTGGGCATCTAAAAGAAATGACAATAGTCTTTGCTCATTTGTAGGCCTCTGGGGTCTCCCTGAGCAATACCTGTAGAGAGATATCCCACATCAGTAACTGAGATATTAATTTAATAACTCATGTCTACTGGGAATAGCTTCTAACAATAATTGTTTCTTAAACTTACAAAAGAGCAAATGAAAATCACAACTTTAAATTCACATACCTTTGACAAAAAGTTTTAGTCAATCATTAATTCTTACTTAATAAAAGAGATACATACCCATCCAGCTTTTAATTTATAAAAATCAATTTATATAGAATTGGGTATATTTCAAAAAATGCATTTCTTATACTTCTACAAATTTCAGTTCTATATAACTCATGTTTTCAACACTAACCTAATAAAACATTTTATACTTAATTTTAATCTGAATTTGATATTTTAATATGCTAGTTTGTTTAAAGACTTCTTAATATGATTCAAAAGAGAAAACAAATTCCATGACTTTAATATATAACACAAACATACAAAATTCTGTTTATATCTTAAATGTTAAAATGTCTTTACAGTTTAAATTTTGTTGCTTCACTAATAGCTAGTTTTATCACTATTTTGTACATATGTGCATGTACATGCATGTTTGTTCACACACGTACAAGAGTGTGTAGAGGCTAGAGGACAGCCTTGGATAATATCAGGAATGCTGTTTTAGTGTTTAAGGTACCACCTGCCATTGGCTTGGAGCTTACCAATGGGGCTATACTGGCTATTGAGTGAGACCTGTCTCTGCTTTCCCGGTGCTGGGGTTTCAAGCATGCATCATTGCATCTAGCATTTTTCTAGTTTTGAAACAAACTCAAGACCCTAAGCTGCAGGGAAAATATTTTACACACCAAGCTATCTTTCCATCCTTAATTTCATTAACTGAAAGAGCCTATTTCTTTTCTTTAAATGTTTTTTTTAATTTACTCATCTCTCATACAATACATCCCCCCACAGCCTCCATTCTTATCACCCCACCTCACCTCCCTTCTCCCCCAAGATCCACTGCTCCTCTGTTTCCTTTCAGAAAAAAAGCAGGCCGCCCAGGGATACCAACCAAACACAGCATGACAAAATGCAATAAGACAAGGCAAAAACCCCTCATTTCAAGGCTGTAAGAGGCAACCCAGTTAGAGGGAAAGAGTAGTCGTAAGTGCAGGAGACCAAGTCAGAGACAATTCCACTCCCACCATTAGGAGTTCCACGAAAACACCAACCTTTACAACACTTATGCAGAGAACCTATCACAGACCCATGTAGGTTCCATGATTGTCACCCCAGTGTCTGTGAGACCCTATGAGCCTTGCTTAGTCGATTTTCTTGGGCCATGTTCTCCTAGTGTCTTCAACCTCTCCTGACTCCTACAATTCTTGCTCCCCCTCTACTGCAGCCTTCCTGGAGCTCTACCTAATCTTTTGCTGTGGATGTCTGCATCTGCTCCTATCAGTTTCTGGATGAAGCTACTCTGATGACAGTTATATTAGGCTTTGGTCTATGAATATAGCAGAATATCATTAAGAATAATTTCATTGATTTGTTTGTTTGTTTGTTTGGTTGGTTGGTTGGTTGGTTTTGCCAGTTATTTTTAGTTTTACCCTATGCCTCTGAGCCATTCAGCTTCTGATTCCAGGCAGTGTTGGGCATCCCTCACCTGTCATGGACCCCAGGTTAGACCAGTCATTGATTGGTCACTCCATTTCCAAGATAAGAACTTATTAAACCCTGTCTACAAAAAATTAATAAAAGGAGCAATATTCCAAGATAAAGTTTGGTTTTCTACACAATCTGTTTCCTTAGCTTGAATGATTATGAGTCTCTTCCCTCAATTGCTAATGTTAAGGGCATCACTGAACTAACCAAAATAATTCTTGTGTATTTTTTAGATATAGAGCTCTGTGGCGGGGAGGGACTAGAGGTAGACTCTGGATAGCTTCTTTTATTATTCTCCACTCTATTTTTTTGAGACATGTTTTCTCAGCAAAGAAACTGGAGACCATTGTTTCAGCAAGGTAAGCTGGCAAATGAAACCCAGAAACCCACCTGTTTTCACCTTTTCCAGGAGTTGGGTCAAGACATGCATGACCATGTGTTACTTTTATGTGTGTGTTGGGGAACCAAGCTCTTAAGCTTGCTGAGGTGGCACTTTATCCACTGAGCAACTCCTCAGTCCCTAAGAAATAGAAATAAAAGTTTCTATATATTATTTTATCTTATTTGTAGAACTAAACTCATAGACTTGTGTGTACTAAGCAAGCACTCTAATACTGAACTGCATCCTGAGCCCATTCTCTTATTTTCTCATCCTCCAAATGATCAATATAAAAGTAGCTACATGGAAGCTTTTATACTTGGAAGTACAAATATATATCAGAATAAAAGACTGTATTTCTCTAATTAATTATTGATTCAAGAGCACCATAAATAGAAGAAATCTCTCTTGATAAGTCTGTAGAAGTGGGAAAATCCTTAGTCCTTAGAAAGACTCATTCCAATCACATTAGATGACTCTAACCACTAGGAAGTTGTTTTTAGTAAGAGCCTCCTATTAATATTCTCATTTGCATTTTAAATTTGCCCTTGAGGGCTATTTCTAGGAAGTTTTAAGAGCCTGCACCTTAAGGAAAGTTGAGTCATTTCTCTATCTACTCCAAATGGAATTCCTTGAATTTCAATTGTGATGATTGAGGCAAAGAAATCCAAAAGGTCAAATTCAATTAAGATCTTATAATGACTGGGATCCTAGAAATTAAATCCTAAAAGAAGGATTGCTTGGGGCTAGAGATGGCTCTGCACTGAACTGTACTTATTGCTCTTGCAGAGGACTCAGGTTTAATGAGCCACACAAACTTCAGGCAGCTTACCATTGCCTGTAACTCCAGCTTCAGGGAAGCAGATGATCTTTTCTGGCTTTTGTGGGCACTGGCACAAATGTAGCATACATAAACACATACATAAATATAATTTTTATTCTTTATAAAAAATTTAATTGGTCATTTGAAGGAAGACTCTTAGTGATTAAGGAAAGAACTGAAGGCAACCTGGGAGGTCAGTAACCATTTTGGGATGCTTGGTGTAAATGCTTCCAACACAATTGACAACATAATTGATGTTAGGCAGAGTGTAAACAGACTGCAGATGTGTGGAGAGGGTATAGGGATCAGTTACTATCCCCACACTCCTCAGCCCCTAATATTAGCAGTTTCAAGTACACTAAGTTTCCAAGTTGCTCTGTGGAAATAGGTCCTACTTTTTTTTTCAAGTTCTCTGAAAGCAGCATGAAGTATTGCTACCTAAACTAAGCCCCATCATCGTAAGTGACAAAGACATCGTAGTACTAAAAATAAAGCCCAATTTATATTGATGGAGATTTTGTGACTTATTACTTGGCCAATATTAAGCTGATAATCAATAACTTCCTTGAGTATATATTGCTTCTTTTAATGCTCAAATGTAAAATATATGCTTTTAGACAAAATTTAATTCAGTTGAATTTGACCCAATACTAAAATTATGAAGATTATTTTAGATACTAATGCTTTTAGCCAACATATTGTATCTTTAGCTTTATGTCACCTACAATTTTGATAAGTGTCTGTGTTAAGTGGCAGAAAGTTCATAGCATAATTGCAGTCATTTCTTTCAGCATAAGATTCCCCACAGCATTATTGCCTGTCTGTTACCTCGATTTTGTCAAGAGTGATGTTTTTGACAGATGTAGTGCTGTATACCTGTAATCTCCAAACCTAGGAGACTGAGACGTGAGAACGCCCTAAGCTCCAGACCAACCCAGCAGACACTCTAGGACTTTAGGTGAAGGTACTACAAACATACTTGGTAGTTTGTTCTCTCCTTTTCAGTAGAACCCTCTCAGGACATGATTATTTCCCAAACAAATACCAACATAAATGTTTATGTGTGCTAATTATTTATAATGAATAAACAAAAACATATATATGTTGAATTTGTAGATACACAAACACAAATACACACACACATATATATATATATATATATATATATATATATAAAATCAGGCACTTATATAATGTTTAGCCATAATGGCACATTTCATCCTTTTTCTATTATTCTTTTATTGAAAATAGATTTTCATACAATATTCTGATTCCAGTTTGCCCTCCCTCAACTCCTCCCAATTCCTCTCACCTCACCTCCCTTCCAAGTCTCTCTCTAGTTAGAAAACAAACAGGCATCTAAAGAATAATAATAAAATAATATAAGATAAAACAAAAACAAACAACTGGAGGAATAGAACAAAATAAGCAAACGAACAGAAGCAAAAGAGCCAAAGAAATATATATAGACACATATCCACACACAGAGAAATTCTCCAAAATCAGAAAATATAATATATATTTAATGACCTTTAAAATTAAAAAAAAAAACTGAAAAAGAATTATGATGCAAAGAACCTCCAGATATGTCATTGAATTCATTTTGTGTTGGCCGTCTACTGCTGGGCATGTGGTCTATCATTAAGAGTGGTTTGTCTACCCATTGAGGCTCTGACAGAGAAAACTAATTTTTCATTTGCAAGGTTAAGGATGTGGGCTTGTATCTACTTTCCCTCTCAGTGATGGGACCCCATCTGGCCCAGACCTGTGCAGGTGTTGCGCACGTTGCTACAATCTGTGAGTCCATAAATGTATCATTTTTCTGTGTTTAGAGGGCCTTGATTCTTTGGTGGCCCCATCCCTTCTGGCTCTTACACTTTTTCTGCCTTTTGTGAAGGTTTCCCTGAGCCCTAAGGGAAGGAATTTGATGGAGACATCCCATTTAGGACTCAGTGTTCCCAAGGTCTTTCACTTTCTGCACATTTTCCAGCTGAGACTCTGTATTTGTTCCCATTAAAAGCAAAAAAATGAGATTAAAAGGATGTAAGCCAATCTTCAAGAATGTGAAGCTAAGTTTCAGAATTTTATTTTAACACAGGAAGCTGTTCTTCAGAATTTACATGCCCAGTTCACTTTTCTTTGCTGACATTTGTTTTACCAAATTTGCTAAATAAGACCAGATTAAGGAAGGGATTGAGATATCTAAGAAAAGTCCACTCTGAATGAAGCAGAAGCCCTTCTAATCAGTGTGCAGTTCCACTTATCAGTCCATGACAAAGCCATTGGACCAGTGTCTTGATGGTATCTGCAATTTGCTCCCTTCTTAAAGGCTATGGTTAGATCCAGACCAAAGGCCTTTGAATCCATAATCTTTTGAAAGAGCAAACTAAACAAAATGGTTTCTGCAATAGCGTCAAACAAAATGAGACTGTGTACCTGTTCTCTTTGAGACTGCCATATATCCAAAATATTTACTGACACATTATAGCACTGAATAAATATTTGATGAATGTATAAATTAGATACAATTCAATTTAGGACACTTCTTATTTACATGCTCAGTGAAAAAGTACACACATAACAACTTGTGCTATCATTGTGCATGATATGAAGACAAAAATCACACCAATTTTACCTCCAAAAATTAGACATTTAATATTTCTACATATCAAGTGGGTAAAAATACAAATGATACAATATCCAGCAATAACATATGGGCAGAAGTTCTCACATTTTGATTTGAGATTCTATATTTTCCTATTAAATGTTGAGGAAGTTGAAGAGACTTTTTCATATAGGTTATATCTATCAATACAATTGCTATATACATGAAAAAAACCACTTGAAGTATGCATTCATTGTTCATCTTTGGAAAACAATAATAAATTCACTATAGATTACTGTTATTTCTTATAGAAAACACAAATGTTTCCCAAGGAAGACATATTAGATAACTATGGTGAGTATTATACATGTTTTCTGGTTTTTCCAACATATATTCTAGTAGAAAGCAGTTGGATAACTGTCTACCCCTGTATTTAAACCTTTAAAATATGTTGTTTACATTGAGATACAAGAAAAAAATAGAAGGCATTATACAGATGGCATTATACAGACAGTTTAAAAACAGTGTAGTGTTTTACTAGTCACCTTAGGTAGTTATTGATATCACTCTTTGGCACTACATTCAAACTTAAATGATAACACCTTAAACATTAACTGTAGTGGAGACAAAAAAAACCATAGTAGTAAGCTGTCTGCATTTCATTACTTTCCTCTCTACTGGTGTACTGTGCATGGGTGTTTTATCTGTGTGTGCTTGTGAAAAGTGTTTTGAAAATCACTGGATGTTCCAAGTTACTCAGATTTTCTAAAGGTTGCTATGTTTCATATACTAACAAAAAATGACATTTTAAATGTCATTCTCACTAGAATATTCTTTATATATTGCAGAGCTGTCAAGCTTTCAGTGGTAGATAAAAGTTTTCCAAAATTCAAAGATTTTATTGCAGTGCTAATCTCTTTCCTGGGATAAAGCCTAATGTTTCTTTTCTTTGAAGTGACCAACTTTTTTCACTCACCTTCATATTGTCTGTGTGTGCATGCATACGCTGGTGTGCCTGTGCATGGGTGTCAGAACTCCACATTGGGATTGTTCCCTAGGACATCATCAACATTTTTTGTTGTTGTTATACTTATATTTTTTAAATGTGTTACAGTGTTTGCTTGTATGTCTATGCAACACATGTGTGCCCAGTGCCCATGAAATAAGGAGAGGGCATTGCATTCCCTGTGGGTGCTGGAAATTGAACCCGGGTCCAGTGCAAGAGCAGCAAGTGCTCTTAATCACTGAACCATCTCTCCAGACCCTCAATTTTTTTTTGAGACAGGCTCTCACTTTTATTGGAAATTTGCCAATTCTACTAGGGTGGCTGACCATGGATGAGCCAGTCTATGCCTCTCAGCACTGAGATCACAAAGGTGTACTACTACCACTCTTAGCTTTTAAATTTGCATTCTGGGGATCAAATTCAAGTCCTTGTGTATGCGTGGTAGGCCCTTTACTAACTGTGCCAATCTTCATATTCCATTTACTTTTGACAAGATATCTTTTAATCAATCCAATATAAAAAGCAATCCATCTTTTATTCAACAGTTCTTCCAAATTAAAATGAAGTTTGAGAAAATAAAAAAAGAAAGCTAGTGTATCTAATAACTAATAATTGCAAAGCCTTCCTCAAGGCAGCAATCATCATACATTTTCATGAAGAGAAATGTTTTAAGATAGACCTTCTATTTGTTTCAGTACATACATATATATAGTAGTTTTATGTATATACATATATTTTAGTTTTTATGTAATGAACATGTGTGTATGTGTGTAGGTGTATACACTGATGGTTTATACGCAAATAAAATAATTTACCTTTTCCTATAAATGTATGACAGTATACAGTATGAGTTTATGAGAAGTATACAATAACCACATGCACAGCTTCAAGCTAACACTTTATGCTAAACTCTCTTGTTTTTATAGTAAAAATGTTCATTTCTACCCAGTCACTGTGACATGACTCAAGATTAAATATTTCAACATCAATTTTGTTTGTTGCCAAGAAAGAACATGGAGTATATTCTCCCCCAAATGTCACGGAGATGGGAGGCCTGAATTGGTGTATGATACAGTCTGTGTTGTGATGGCTTAAATGTGAACTGTTCCCCCCATAGGCTCATGTGCTAGGCTACTATGTCTAGCCCTCTGCAGGTGGTGCTTTTTAGGAATGCCATATGACTTTTAGGAGCGTTGCTGAAGGAAGTGTCTCACTGTCATCAGGACTTGAAATTTTAATGTCTGGCTCTTTCTGACCACTCCCAGCTTTCTGATCAACCCAGGTTTGCACAAGCAGCGCCACGATCATACTGCTACATCCTCAAGCCAGTCCGGCCCCTAAACCTCCCCTGCTGTGAGAGTCTGTACCTTTAAGCCATGAGACAAAGAACCCCTTCCTCCTTTGAGTTGATTCTCAGCAGATATTAATGGGTGTGATTACATATCTAGTGAAAGCAGTAATAGTGCTCAGTTGCCAGGTTTTTATTTTTTTCCCATTAGGCTATATTGGATCAATATATCTCCTACTCAGATAGCCTTCTGTACCATTGGTTTTCCGTAGATTTCCCACTTATTTCTAAGTGGGGAGTTTCATTTTTCTGGTGATGGAATTATTCAGGCAAAGTGATTACATTCTCTCCTGGGTGGTAGAGGTTGTGCAGTTTATTGACACTGCAAAGCCCATGTCCTGGTGACCCTATTGTGTTCTACTCCAAGTGCACCCTCAAGTGATATTGTGTGGTCTACCTTGTCCTTTCTCCTGAGATGTACATATCTGAGACTAATAGACTGCTGTTGAACTCTAGTGTGTGGTGTCATGAATTTGAGCATCCTCAGAACCTCAGGGTGGGAGACCCACCATCACCAACTGGTGAATAAGAGACTACAATAGAATCAGATAAATTCAGGCAATTTTATAACTTAGTAATTAATTTCATTAAGATAAAAGCATTAAACCTGGCACCCTTGCACATTCTGATTAGGAATGCAAATTCTACAGTCACTGTCAAAAATAACTTGACAGTTTCTCAAATAATTAAAAAGAAAACAACTGTATAATTTAACAGCTTTACTTCTGGTCAGGTAGCACCACCCCTTCCCCTGCCCGATTGAAAACAGCATCTGAAAGATTTACTAATACACCTGCAGTATTAAGAGCATCATTCTCAATAGCTAAATGGTAAAAGTTACCCAATGTGTATTGGCACTGGAATGTACAGATGTAAAGCTATGTATCCATGTAAAGGTACATCATTCAGACCTTAAACGAAAGGACACTGTGACACATTTTACAGCATGGAATGTCATTGAAAACATTACAGTTGAAGTAATCTAAACACAGAAAGATGAATCTTATATGACTCTATACGATGTAACAATAACAGTTAAATTTATACATACAGTAAGAAGAATGATGATCCCCAGGAGCTGTGAAGAGGAAATGAGGAGTTGTTTAATGGATACATCTTCACTCTGAGAATACGGAAGGTTTAGAGATCACTGGTGTAGATAACTGAAGTAAAATATGAATGTCTTAAATACCATTGAACTGCATATTTAAATTATTTAAAATGATAAGTATTATGTCAGTTGTAACAACCACAAATTTTTGGAATATATGTATTAACTCTTCAAGTGTAAGATTACAGTGTTCAGAATTGGTTTTAGAAAAAAAATGTGTTTTTGGCTGATCAAATGGTGAATGTTATGAACACAAGTATATATACACCTAAAAGAAAACGAATAGAGAAATGTATTGAAAATAAAAACTGATATGTACACCTCACAAAAACATCAATTCATCAGGTAAATATAAAGTCCTAACCCTATATACACAGAATAGCAAAGCTGAGGCAAACACACTGTCTCAGAACAAGGTGAGAAGGCGATAGAGGAAGATATCCAAGCACTGAACCTAGAAGAGTCTCCACACGGGCCCACACACTCAAGTACATAAATACATATGTAAGTAAAATATTTTTAATTTAAATGTGTTTTAAAACACATTAAAACTGATATCAATGAGAAAGGAAAATATTAATTATCAAGGTAATAATGTAAAATATAATAACAAACACTTGAAGTAACTTGCCAGGTGATCTGTCGTGCAGTAGGATGAATATCTTAGTAGCTAATATTGAGCTGGAATTACCTCCTCATGCCACAGTATATCCAAATCAAAGACTGATCAACAAAATCATTCAGCACCTGATGGGAGATAATTATATGATCTATGTTTTCAACTGGAATAACACAAGAAATATCATGAGAGATTTACTGTGGTTGGTCCAGAGGCTTTATCACACCTTCTTTTGAGAGTAGTGAAAATGGAAAGTTAAGGAGATTATACATTACTTTCTTACTGTGAATTGAGCTTATATCCCAAAAGATTTGGTGTGAGTGTGAGCATGTGTGTTCATATTCATGTGCCTATATGTGTTTATATTGGATTGATTGATGGAAAGATGTCAGAAGACAAGAAATGGACATAAATTCCCTCAGTGTGAACACAGAAAAGGAGAACTTGATTGCATAATAACAGCTGTACAGGACAGAGGCAGGAAAGAGCACAGCACTGTCTCAGTCAAAGACAAATGTCCATGATCTTGAACCTTCCCAAAAAGATGGAAGGCTTGAGCATCTGTGTGTCTGCCAGCTGCCATTTCAGTGACCCCACAGGTTCCCCTGTGTGAAATCAGTACAAATGATTTGGGAATGGATGTGTGAAGGACATTAATGTACATAACATGAATAACCCATAGAGCTTTCATCAATGTCAATACAAGAATATGGCCAGGCGGTGGTGGTGCACGCCTGCCTTTAATCCCAGCACTCGGGAGGCAGAGCCAGGTGGATCTCTGTGAGTTCAAGACCAGCCTGGTCTACAAAGCGAGTTCCAGGAAAGGCGCAAAGCTACACAGAGAAACCCTGTCTCGAAAAAACCAAAAAAAAAAAAAAAAAAAGAATATACATGTCAGAGTTTTAAATAATTTACATAACCACAGAAATATTCTATGTTTGGAACCTAATTCAAAAATGCAAATAAATTCCCAATATTTTCTGTAGGTATACTCATATAAAAATTTTTATGTAGTAGTATCAGCCTGTGACTTCATTTTCCCTTTCTGATTAATCATACACATGTTCATCAGTTTTCATATTTTCTGTGTCACCTGGGTAAGTGTGATAGTGATTTGGAGATGTGGTGCCATTTGTCTTAACAATCATCCCTTAGGGATGACTTTCTCTGCTTGTCAGACCTCTTCTCTAAGTATTCAGATGATTGCCATCAAATATTATTTTAAATTACATTTATTTAGTTGGTTGGTTACAAATTAAAGAAATATATATGCTTGCTATTTTTTGTGAGAATCCTGTCTCCTTTTATATCATTTCAGTGCAATTAACTGTTAATTGTTATGGGGCAGTTAGTGTAAGCCACATAACAAGAAGCAACTATTCTTGTTTAGAGGCCTTTTTTCCCTCACAACCCTCTTAATATGGTCTTAAAAACTGCTTTAAGTGCAATGTCCTTTTCTGTGGAACTTGTGAGTATGTTCCCTGGGGGGGAAAAAAAGAAAAATAAGAAAAGTGAAGAGAAATGGAAGGAATGGGGGAGTGAGGGGATGCCTAATTTGCCATATGCTAATAGTTCTACCTTCCAATCACTTCACTTTTAAGTAAACACTTCTGAAAGAGGATTTTCTCCCTCACTTTACCATAAATATTTCCTACATAAGAGCATATTGACTACATTGTCAGAGAAGATCAAAGGTGTTCACAGAAAGGAATCCGAAAGAAGTCACACTTTTGCTAAAATTTGGTACATATGGAGTTTGTTCTCACAACTTACAAAAGACATTGTGAATGTATAAATAAACTGTATGAAGTCTGTGTTTTATTTTGGTCTTCTAATTATGGAGAAGAAATGCCTATAATTTGGGGTTCAGAGGCCATATGTCTCTTTCTATAAAGAAGAATGACTCATTAGAAACAATATTGTTCTGAGCTCTGGTTCAGTTAGACACCATTTTCTCTGTGAAGGAAGATTTGACTCAAATTGTTATGGAGTTCCTGCAAAGGAAGTAAAAGATAGCTATTATTAATAGTAGCCAGGAACAAATGTATATTAAGTGTGGTACCCAACAAGAAGAATTTTATTTTCATATAAAAGAAAAAAAAAAACCTGGGCTCTAAAAGTGTCTATTTCCCATGCTCAACATCAAGAAGGCTTCAAATCAGAGGAACTCTGATAAAGAATTCACTTTAAAAAGTAATCTTTCTTTTTAAAAAATTATTTATTTTAAACTTACAATGAAAATTAAAAAATGTAAATAATTTACACCTCAACTAACCAGATTAAGCTGATCCCTAAGACTATACAACTCAATGAAATGGCCATACACTCAGAGTAAGCTGTTCAGAATGGAGCTGGGGAGTTTCACATTGGATTTTCATCTTTCACTATCAAATTTAGAGTATATGTTTTCTCACTTATCTATATTATTCTCCAAGAAAAGATGTAAAATCGAGAGCAAGAGCATCTGAGAATCAGGAGATGAGAAACAACTGAGCACATGGTAGTAAAAAATCATGAAAGAGCAAATAAAGCTGTTTTTCTAGTTCTCTGTCATAGGTTTTTCTGTTTGTTGGATGAATTAATTTTTGCTTTTTAACGGGGGCCTGAAAGTTGGCCACACAATACCTACATGCCCAGCACACTCATCTCATTCACAAAAAGTTGCTACTTGTATAGAAATGGTCCATGTTTTAAAAATATTATTTATCTTTACTTTTCTTCTGTAAATAAAGTGAGTTTTGAGAAGTATTTGTTCTAAAACTCATTTATATACATTGCATATAACCTTCTTTTAAAAAAAACTATGAGTGTTTTCCAATTATTTTCTGTGCATAACTTTCCTATTTGGTTCCCCATTTTTGTCTGAAATTAAATATAAAAAACCAAAATAAAACAATTAAAATGATTGCTGTTATTAATAAATTCCAATATTTCATTTATAAGACAGATTTAATGCCTGAGATTGTTTATTTGAGTCCTTAACAATAAATGCCAACAGTTTATCATCCATTTATGTCACTTATGTGGAAAGAAATGAGGAGGAGAGAGAAAACAGAGTATTTCCTAACTGGTTAGATGGAGCTTAGAGAGCTCGTACGTTAGCATCCACCAATGCTACAAGGATTGTGACACGGAAAGACCCCAACAGGGAATGTGAGTGCTGGGGGTGGAGAGAAGGCACTGTTGAGCTATAGGCTCTAGTGCTCCTATGAGGACACTTGTCACATCAAGAGAACCTGGAGGAGTGGCTGCAGGAAAAAGTATATCTCTCACATTATTTCTTGTGCCAGCAATCCTTCAGGATCCCAGGAATTTGCAGGACCAGAATAGATGTTGGTCAGACAGCTGAACAGACAGAGCTCTTTATGTGTATCCCCACCCTCCCACTCTAGTTATGAATATTTCACAAGAGTTAGGATTCTTAAGATTACGATCAATCAAGTAAATTCATTGGAACATCAATTATGTGATACTGTCTCATATAGAAAATTAGGTAGCTGGTTGGATTTCAGGCATACCTACTTTTTTTTTTCTTATATAAGTTTAGAATGATTTGAGTAGCAAGAGAAATGTTAGTTTTATTGTCGACAAATATCACAGGATATCTGTGTCAATTAATGACAAGTCTACAAGCTTTAATAATTAGCCAAGTGGAAGGCAGGAATGACATACTCATTAAAACAGGTATTGGAATCCAAATCACACCAGCATAGGGAAACTTTCCTCTAATGGTGGCTGCTCACAGCCTTTTTCCTCTACAAACAAGACATTTGAGCCTAAGTGATTAAAATCACAACAGTTGGGGCCTTAAAATATCCATCTACTGTGCTAGATTTTTTTTTTTTTTTTTTTTTTTTTGGTTTTTCGAGACAGGGTTTCTCTGTGTAGCTTTGCGCCTTTTCCTGGAACTCACTTGGTAGCCCAGGCTGGCCTTGAACTCACAGAGATCCGCCTGGCTCTGCCTCCCGAGTGCTAGAATTAAAGGCGTGCGCCACCGCGCCCGGCTAGATTTTTTTTTAAAACACAATAAGACAGTAACCAACAACTAATTGGGCAAGTCATGTGACACTCTAGAAAGTTCTCTCAAATTAGTTGAAAATATTTGATAGTAACTTGTAGAGAAAAAGTGACTATAAGCCAGTGATGTTTTTAAAATGTTTATTTTCACATTTATGCATGCACCATATGCATGCAATGCTCAGAAGCCAGAAAAAGGCAGTGGGTCTCCTGGGACTGGATTTAGAGATGATTGTGAGCTGCTGTGTTGGTGCTGAGAATCAAACCTGGGGCTTCTGGAAGAACTGCCAGTGTGCTTAATCATGTCAAGCCCAAGCACTGAATTTTAAATGCCTGTAAAAAAAAAAATATATATATATATATATATATATATATATATACATACACACACATATATATATGTGTGTGTGTATATACATATATACAATGCATTATATGTAAACAATATGTATATATCATATGAATATACATATGTTAAATATATAATACAATTTATGTCATAATTTATAACAAAGATTCTATACCAAGACTTGTTATCTCCCAAGTTACTACAAATTTATTACAATAAAATTGTCACCCTTGTAGGGAAAGACTTTGGCCAAGTGGAAGAGGCAGGGTAAAAATTATATCAAATTATGAAGTCACTAGTAAGAAAGAATTCTGTAGACTACTCTTTGAACCCAGAATTTGATGCTGGAGATCTAGTTTTGTGTAACAGAATGAGCTGAGAGACCAATGCAGATGACCAAACATCTGATTTGCTGAGATAAAAGATAAATGACTAAGCCACACTCCAGACTAAAATAAGGCAACTGAATTTGGATTTAAACCATAAAACTTCCCTAAGTTGTCACAGTCAATGGAAGTTATTTATTATTTTTGATGATTTCAAAGTAACTCCTGCTAATTTAAAACTCAGAACATAATTGTGAAACATCAACAGTAAAAAACAAAATCATGTAACATTTCATCATCCATAACATTAGCAAAATTGCAAAATATAATAATGATGTATTTGTTGGTGTTGTAGAAACATGAGCATTTTCATAGACAATGAGTGAAATGAAATCACAAGTCAATTTAGAAGACAATTTAACAACATTGCATGAAACTTCTAGCAATATATATTATTCCATATAGATTATATTTTGGATATATATTCTAGAAAATATTGAACTGTGTATGGAAGTAGAAAGAGACAATGATGATTATCAGAACATTATATAGTCTCATAAAGTGAAAAAGATGTACGTAAAATATGACACTCAGATTTCCAATAGAGACTAGAAACCTAAAAGTATAATGTGTGAAATATAATTTCTATCATTTGCAGGCATCTAAAAGTTTCTTCTGAACCTCCAAAAATTAATTCTTCAGATAGGTTCTTAGTCTTCAATTTTTATTTTCTTTATATTTGTATTGCCATTTATGAAGGGAAGGGAAATAGTAATGACTGTATGGAAACAATAAAATGTGGGTGGAATTATGCTATGTTGTCTCATGAAATAACCTTCTTTTCCTCCAATATGTCCTGTACACCACCTTACACAAACACACAAACATGATTTCACTTAGTAGACTAAGGCTTCTTTTTAGTGAGATTTGTACATTTCCACAGGTAGCTTGCAGTAGATGTATCTTTACATTTGTATTGAGATGGCTTTATGAGGCCATAGTTGCCTAGCTTGATTACAGACAAAAATGTAATATCACAAGTTCTTCTATCCCATGATGAAAAAATAAAAATAAAAAACAAGCTTCATAGCTCTTAAGGGTTTAAAGAGTTTTAACCTGTTCAGCTAGTTGCAGAATACACAGAACCTAGAGAGAAATGGGAGGCAGTAAGAGCAGAGGATAAAAATACGGTGTTTCCATACTGGAATATTTCTACTCTGAGCCCAAAAATGTCAGCTAGTGGTGGTCCACTTACAGATTAGAAGCAAGGCTATTATATCTGCAACACTAAGCAAACAATGAAAAGGAAATTGCTTGTTTTTAAGTACAACTAATAGAGCAATCTGTCTCACTATTAGGACATTAATAACATGTAGGGCTAATTCTAGGAAACAATTTAGTCCAAGGGATGGTTAGCTTCATTATTATTTTTTCATGAACAAAAATGAGTGGTAATTTGTAATTTTCACTGCAAAGTGGGATATAGAAGAAGAGAGAAAATAAGAAAGGCTCTTTCTAAATGACCAAAGTCCTCACCAACAATCTTAGTCTTTGTAACAATTCCCAATGCGTAAACACTAACAAATGTAATATAAAATCAATGAGTTAATATTAGATGAACACTGAAAACAAATCTACATAATTTTTCATCCTGTTCCAAAAATTGGCTTACTACAATTACATCACATTAATTTGAATGAATTTACTGTTCAACTTTATGGCACTCAATAAATATGTAAGAATTAAATTCCCACAATTAACACAAATCTGAAATAAATTAATGAATAGAGCTAAAATGCATTTTTCATTAAGAAAATACACTTTTAACAAATGATGAATAGCAAACATCCAGTTGTAAAAACATTAGGGCAAAACAATCATTGCACATCATCAGAGCATCATGAAGAAGAGAAATCTTCAGAGCCAAAGGCATGCACCTTTATGCTAAGTTTATTTCTTCTGATAAACACTTTAATTGCACTCATTGAAAAAGCAAGAGTAGAGAATTTATTACTTTTCTATAAAGAGAATAAATATAAACCCTTTCTTGTAAAAAGCTGACTTTTGACTAGTTTTGAAATAAGCTCTGAAAAATGTTATTCAATATCAAATAAATATTGTT